TTAGATTTTTAGTTTCATAATATTTATTTATTTATCTCTTAATTTTATACAAATCTTATTTAGTTATACATATATATATACTAATTATTTATTAAAAATTTCATTTTATAAATATAGAACTTTCACTTTAATATTTTCTTTAAAATTTTTATTACTTTTTATTATTTTAATATTTCTATTATTTAGCTTAATTTCTTATTAGTATTTAACTCTTTAAAAATGAATACTCTTTTTAATAATTTCAATTTTATTTAAAGTATTCTTGTTCTTTACTAATAACTGAAAGATAATAAATTTAATAGAACTTTATTAATTAATGAAGATTAATTAATACTTGAAGATAATAATCAGAAAGTTATTTATAATCTTATTACTAAAAGATAACTTAATATCAATATAATTTTAAAGATATCTCAAGAATTAGAACTAAACATAAAAAAAACTTCAACTTAAATAAATAAATTATAAGATGAAACTAGAATAAAATAATTTGTAGTTATGATCAATACTGAAATTTCAAGAACAATAATTATAATTAATGTTATTTATTAATTTTGACCTGATCAAAGTTAAAAGACAAGAATTCAGATAATATTTAATAATCTCTTTGAAAATTATGATAATTAATCTAATAAATTATAATTTATTAAATATTATTACTTTGAATAATTATTAAAAAAAATATTAAGATAATATTTATAAAAATTAATAGAACTATAAAGAGAACTAACTTAATCTAAAAGAATAACTTTGATTAAAAGATACTTTTTTCTTGAAAAACAAATTCACTAGCTATTATCAAAATATAGACTTGGAAAGGCTTATAACTTTTAATAAACTATCTATAATAATCTTGTATATATTAGAAATAATAAAATTAAAGAAATTTTAAAGAGAATTTAATTAGTCTTACTAGAGCTTGATCTTATTTAGAGAAACAAAATATTATTATAGTAATATAAATTTCTTTAATTTTATAATTTTTCAAAACTTGAATTTATGATCAATCAAATAACTTTTAGAAAATATATGATTTAGAATAATTTAATTAATGTATTAATTATAAATTCAGTCACAGTTCAGTAATATTTTTATAATATTTTAGTAATATTTTAAGATTATAATTATATAATTAACTCAAAAGTTATTAATAGTTTATAAATAATTTATTAACAATTCAAAAATACTTCAAAAATATTTCAGAAATAAATCTTATTTATTTTATTTATTATTTTTTCTTTTTAGAATATTTATCTTATCTTTTCATTTTATTTTATCATTTATATCATCTTTTAACTTATCATATATATTTTATTTCTATATTTTTATTTGTTTATTTATTAATTCTTTACTTCAAAACTTGTAATTATATACTAGAATAGCAAATGAATTAAGAGTAAAGTTTAGATAGAATCTGTAAAATCTATAAATATCTTTGTTTTCAAATATAAAATAATTATATTTAAATAATAATAATTTAATTATCTTTGAAAATACTTGAATTATACTTATAATTTTTCTTTGATTCTTATCTTGATATTCTGCTTTTATTATATTAATAGATTATATTTTGATTAATTATATATTTTTTTTGCCTAAAAAATATAGATAATAGATAACTTCTATTTAAAATAAGCCAAGTATATTTTATTTGATTTACAAAGATTATTGTAAGCTTTTCTATATATAAAAACTTTATTTTATTTTTGGCATATATTCTTTATTTGCCTAATAATTGAAAAGATACTATTAGAGAGTTTAGTTAGTATATTAAATCTTTTGTTTTTTAGCTATAGTATTTACTCTTAGTTTAGTTTTCATGATTACAACTTTTCTTTATTTTATTTTATTTTATTTTGTCTTATATTAATATAATACTTATAAGTATTAATACTTAAGAATCTTTAAAATAATTATAATTCTCTTTATCTTTATAAATAATTCAGTCTTTACTCTCAAAACTTATTATAGATTGTATTTCTAATAAAATTTATCTTTACAAATATAGTTTATAATAATATAATTATAATTAAAATAAAGTAATTTTTTATAATAAAATGATAATTTAAATATTTTATAATATTATTTATATATAATTATATAAAAAATTAGTTTAACTTATAGTAAAATATTCTTTTAAAGCTTATATTTTGGACTGTAATTAATATCAAAGAAAAAATATATTTATAAAGAATTTAAAATTATTTATATTATAAAATTCTTAATATAATAATACAGATAACTTATTGAATTATTACTAGATATTTTAGTAAAATAATAAGTTAAAATATATTTTTTATAATATTTATAAAGTGATTTAGAAATTTATCTTTTATAATATATTTTCTTTAATTATCTTATAATTTAGAACTTAATCTAATTAAAAATATCTAAATTATTTTGAAAAAAATATAAAAAATATATCAAAAAAATGATAATAAAAAAAAGAGAATTTTTCAAGATATTTTTATAAACTTAATTAGAGAGAAATTAAAAAAATATTATAATTAATAATATTAGTTATATAAAAAAATAAGTTCAAGAATATATTAAAACTGAAGAAAATTATATAAAATATTAAATAATTAATAAAATTTATAGCTATAATATTTATCTTTAATTAATAATAAACTTTTTTTAACTTATTTATTAAATTATACTTTTATATTTAAAAACTATTTATTATTATTTTTATCAAGATTATATAAATAAAGCTTAATAAGTAAGTATGAATAGGTAAAAAATAATAAAAGTATAAGTAAAATAAATAAGTAAAATAGATAAGTAAAATTAGTATAAATAAAAGTAAAAGAGAATAAAACTAATAAATAAGTAAGCAAAAGTAAATATAAATAAAAAAATAAGTAATGAAACTAAGATAAAAAATAAGATAAATGAAATCTTTTATAAATAAATTAATTATATATTTATAAAAATATTTTGATAAATTAAAAAAATATATATTTATTATTTAATAATTAAAAGAAAAATAATAATTTTTTAAGATTTTATATTAATTAAATCATACTAATATACTTAATATATTATAATAATTTATATTAGAGTTTCAAATTAATTTAAAAATTTCAATTCATAATTTATTTAATCAAGATTTATTCTAAACTAATTATTTATAAAAAATCAAATATATTTAATTTTTCAAATTTATAGATTATCTAATAGATAATTAATCTGATTTATAATTTTGAATTAATTATCTAATTTATATTTTAACTAGTTATCTATTATTTAATTTAACTAGATAATTTTGTAAAATTGAATAATAAATACTATTCAGATATCTATCATTATCATAATTTTTTAATGCTATATATATTAAAACTTGTATTACTTCAGAAAAAATTAAGATAATAAATTTATATCTGTAATATAATTTGTTATATAACTTCTATATTTAATTTTAAATAAAAATTATTCCTTTATTTTTATTATATATATCTATTATATTAATCTAATCTTACAAATTCTAATCAAGATATATAATTATAATTATAAATTTACTCTATTATAAATTTCTATTCATCTGGCCTAAAATAGAAAAATATTGCATATTATATTTAAGAATATCATTTGCTTAACTATATTTGACTGGATTCTGTTATATAATATTGTAATATGCAATTTAGTATCTGAAAATATATATTCTAAAAGAATAAGAGATTGCTAATACTAATAAATACTTTCAAGTAAGACTTGATATTATAAAATAACTTTTGATTCTATCTTTTTATTATATTAATAGATTACAACTTCTTTTTTTAATAGGATTATAAAGATAATAATCAACTTTAGTCTCTTTAAAATCTTTATTATTATTTGATCTTCCATTTTTATTTGATCTTTCATTTTTATATAGAATTATCATTAAGTTATTTATTAATATTACAATTTCAAAAGTTGGTAAATTAGATAATTCAGCAAATATGTGACTTTTTAATAATTCTTCAATTGAAGATTGGTAGTATTTCTCTTCAATATAAAGTTTTGTATAGTATTAATTGTAATTTCTCTTTGAACTATATTATCAAAAAATCTCAAATTTTTATTTGTGAATTCAAGAATACTGTCACAAGTTCAATATTCTCAGGGATCTTCCAATATGCTTGGAGAGAAAGGTAACTTGCAATTTTGACCAAATCACATAATTTTTCAATAGTAACAGGAAGTTTTATTCTTTGGTAATTTTTAAATTATAGATTGGTATTATAATATCTTGGTTATTAGCTTATTATATTTGATTTTCATTATTTCTTTAGTTTTTTTTTTTACATAGAACGCTTCCTTCGTGACGTAAATGATTAAAAGATTTTTAGAAAAATTAGTCAACGATACAGTGTTATAAAGGAAAAATTCTAGAAAGAGAATCCATTGTACTGAATATTCAGAATTCGTTAATAAAAAAATCCACGTACATTAGTCCTTTAAAAATCAACTGGAAAACCTTGCAACATCAAGATCACTTACAATAAGTCTTATTTTGATATTATACACATTTGACTATATGGATTTTGTAGAGTAATAATAGTAAAGCCAAAATTAATAAATGTCATAATGCACGGATACACGCAAAAGTGAAAAATTTCTTGCAAAACGCACAATTCAATTCCTTGTGATGCTACTATATAAAATATGTCGAATTTACCTTATGTGTGCTTCGATTTTTCTCTAATTTGAAAGGAAAAATGCGTAATTCAATAGGAAATTATCTTAAGTCACTCTTTATGCATATTTATACAAATTTTCAAAAGATTGAAAAATGTCTAGTACTTATTTCTATACATTTATCATGACATTGAGTAAAAGTGCATTTTTCTTTTTTCTTTAGATAAGATGTATTATTAAGTTCAATATAATATTTGAGTTTTAATTTCTCTTGCTATAATAAGTTTCGTGTGCCTTGTCATTACAAGCTTATAGAATCAAATATGTAAGGAGTGATTATGTCTTTATAGATTTTCAATTATCTACGTAAATATTAACTATTTGCTAGAGCTCTAATCAAAAAAAAAATACGTTAGTCAATAAATGCATTTTAAATAAAATTATCGGATTCAAAATAAGCTTTACCTTGATATTAGAATTGTCTATAATGAATTTTTTGTTATAATTTATAATCACACAAAATTCCACTCTCTTATCGTAATAATTAATATTAGATGCAACACTAGATCCCTCTAATTTATTTTTTAAATGCCGCGAAATTTCGGGGTGAAAATTGCTCGCTAATCGATATGCGGACTCATGTTCAAAAGAAGGAAAACTTGAAAAAGTATTATTAACATCCTCCTTTAGTGAGCATATTCGAATATAGATAACAGTTTCCGACTTTCGCATTTTTTCCATTATCTTTTCTTCAATAAGGGCAACAAGTTTATTAAGATGTTCCGACACAATCAAGTGCATTGTCTTTAAGTGCTGTTCAAGTGTCGTATCTGACGCATTGATGAGAAAATAATTGAATTCTGTCTCAACTTCTTCTTTAGTTACCCAGAAGTTTTGTTCGTCAAGTTGTTTAGGGAAAAATTGCTTTCCTGTACGATAGTATTCCATGATATAATGAAAAGCACGACCATTACGATCGAAAAAATATTCGTTATCATTTACTGGTTTCAGAAGTTGTTGATTTCGATCCGCAAACATTGTACCAAGAAAAGTATCTGGATAGGCGGTCAAGGTTGAACGTAAAGTTTCATACTATGTCAAACACATTGTTAATAACATAATTGCATCATTAGTGCTTTGTATTGTCACTACATTTATTACCTTGAAGCCGCCAACATTTAGGATAATTTTTTCAGATAAATTATTTTTTTCACTCATGTTTTGAAAACAGATAAGAAGTAATGATCGGCAATGCGTAATTTATACATGTACATTTACAAACAGTTGATCAGGTACACCAAATCGGGAACTGTACTACGACAACACTAGAACACAACAATAGAATACACACGGTACACGTACCGATAAATAAATGACATGATATAAATTCAAATGTTTATGTACATACATTCCAGTAGTAATGACGGCGGACGCGTTTTTTTGCCTATAACTTAATGAGAATTATTCAAAAATCATGAACAAGCTTTTTTAATATCAGCATAATAATATTTTGTGGAATTTGACGGCGAATTGGAATTTTTAATTTTGAAGAATGCGCGTGTAAACATCCATTAACACATTTTACAATTTTTCTGAATGTTTATTGCAAACCCATTTTCAATCAAAGAGAATTCGATGTTAATCAAATATTCTTTCTCCAATTAAACGCCGAGTAACCTAATAAGTCAGTCAGACAATGAGGTGTGCAACCTAAACTATTTAGAGTATTTTGTATTTTCCACGAGTTAACTCCGCGTATAATATTAATACACAAACACCATAAAAAATTGGTCAAATTAAGAGGAACATTCTTTTACTTTCAACATGCATTGAGAGTACTTGGATAAAATTCAAACGTTTCAAATTTACGAGTATTTTATTTATATTATAGCAAAAAAGATAAAGAGGATAAAAGGCGTTTATGTTGCAATTATTTTAATTGGCGTAGCTTCAAAAAATTCCGTCATTATTTACATACATTCTTTTTCTGACGTTATGTACAATCAAAATTTCTCAACATTTACGTTTGCAATTCACTATCATATTAATCAATACGAGAACGCTTATTAATGCATTTTGGCAAATATGATGAATTAATAAGCTAAAAAATTGAGCAACACGCAGGACGGCTCCTCTTGATGTTCTCTCCCCGAGGCGAACATTTTGGTGGATCGAACACAGCTTCTAGCATGTCCATTAATAGTGCATTTAATAACTTGGTAACAAAGAATTTTACAGCGATAGTTGAAAAAATGTCGGTTACATGAATATGTCTGGTTCAAGTCGAAGTTTGCACTGTGATGTATATAAGAAAGTGAAACAATCCCATGTCATCATTTCCTTTCAATCTTCTGTTCATAGTTTTAATTTCTCGTCATTGGCTATAATTGCAGCTGACTCACACGCTAAAGTACAATGGTTAATTGTACATTATAGTAAAGTGCATGAATTATAAATATCACCGTAATTCTGTTTTTAATTTCTCATTCAATAATTATTAATAAGCATTTTTTAACAATATCAGGTCTATGAGCAATAGTCTATGATTTTAACTTTTCCCAATATAACTATTTGAAATAATGTGTTTGTTTGTCATTCTTTACTTGTAAAGATAATAAAAAGATTTTTGCATGTACTTATTAGATTTATTATACATGCATTTCTTTTCATAATCATATATTTATTTATCATTTTGTTTAAAAACTTATTGTATTAATAACAATATATAAAGTATTGCTATTAGAAAGTTCCTAAAAAATTTGCACCACACTTATTGTTATAAATAATTCAGAATATAAATTAAGTCTTATTTATGAGTCTTAAATCTATCTGTAAATTAATTTATAATAATAAGCATAATAACTAATTTAAAAGAATTATATAAAATATTAATATTTAGTTATTTTTGTTATTTGTTTATATTTTTTATTATTTCTTTATTGAATAAAATATATTGATATACATAAAAACATGATTTGTTAGAATTATTATAATAAATTCCAATTGTAATATAAAATATAGATAGCTCTATAGTATTTATTATAATATAAATAGATTTTAAAAGAAATAATAATAGCTTATATATATAAAAATTCTAATTTTTGAATATTTTACTATTTATAATCAGAAATAAATAGAATAATTTATAATTTAATAGATATTATATAATATTTTTAGAATAAAAAATATTTTATATATTAAAAGTTAGAAAATTTTAAAATTATCTTATTTGAAAAAGATAATTACTTTATATTATAATCAATTTTATTTTAAAAAATTTAAAATAAAAACTTTAAAATCAAGTATATATTTTAATATTTTTAAAAAGCTCCTATTTTCATTATGAATTTTTATTATTTTTATTTTATATTATATAATAGAAAATTATCAGATTTTTATAATTATTATAAATAATTTCATATAAAAATTTTAAGACTTAATATTATAAGATTTAGCAAAAAGAATCATATATAAAATATATTATTTAATTTTCTAATTTTTGTTAAATTAAATGATAAATTTAATTTTTATTATTAGATTTTAAAATATTAAGTCTCAAGAAATTATATAATAAATTATTTACTAAATAATTAAATATACTATCTATTTAAAGCTTTTTTTCTACTAGATCTTAAAATATTAAATTTTAAGAATTTATATAAAATTATTTATAATAAAAATAATCTGGTGATAATTTCCTTAACTATGATTTCTCAGTCAGCTTTCTTAATAGTTCTTGATTCAATCCCAATCCTCTTAGTCAATACCAATTCTTGATTTTCTTGACTGGTTTGATAAGTTAACTTAATTCATATATTATAATTATTATAAATATTAAGTAATTTTCTATTATATAATATATTTTATAATAAAAATATAAAAATTTATAATAAATATAAAAATATTCTATTTTATTATCTTATTTATAAAATATATTTTTTTACCAAATTATAATAAATAATTTTTATTTAAAATAATAATTTTTATTAATAAAAAATATCTAAATATAAACTCTTTAATTATAAAATATATAATTTAGAAAATTAGAAATTTTAATAATAAATTAAATTTAATTATATTGTTACAGCAAATTAATAAGTGGATTTTTACTTGAATTTATCTTAATAATATAGAATTAGAAGAGACTGAAATAATCAAAGAATAAAGAGAGAGGAATTAAACTATACTTTCAATAATGACAAAGATTTCTAAGATCTGTATCAATATCTATAGATATTATCTTAACAAAGAGAAAAATAAATAAAAAAATAATAAATTAAAGAAATTATAAAGATTAACTAAGTAAAGTCACTAGTAATTGATATAATTCAAGACTTAAATTGATTAAATAATAAAACTACTATTAATCAAAGAAA